GTGAATAAAGAGAATCTATTGTATTTCTAAACAAACTCATATGCACGAAGGTGACATATGGCAGGCCCAGAGTTACTGATGAAAGGAAGCACACATTCCACTGGAAGTTTTGCTTTCTACCATCCCGCACTGCCAGTGGGAGCACAGCCAGGCGGCGTGAGTTTGGCGGGGCGACTGGGCAGTTGTGCATGACAAGCCTTAGCCGTGCTCATCACAAAGCCGCCCGACACTGTGCTGAGTGACGTGCCCCCAGTGTCCCTGAGTCGTGACAACAGTGCTCGGTGAGTGCCTCCACCTCTCCGTGTCCCGGCTGCCTCATCTCAAAGGGCAGTTGTCAGCATTCACTGAGCCAATGCATTTAAGAACAACTCTTGGCTGTCATCACTAACCTACTGAGTAGATGCTATCGGGATCTCCACTAACATCCCCTGACCTGGCAGTTCCATTGCTAAGATGTTAACCTACAGAAGCCATCAGGGATGTGGCCCTCCCCTCCCTCCAAAAAAGGTACAAAGAGATTTACTGCAGCCTTCCCTACAATGTCAAAAAACCAATACAGCCTAAGTGTCCTCGACAGATAAGCGTGGTACGCTCATGAGGTGGACTGCACCCAGCTACTGAAGGATATGGCGGAACGACCACCCTGCACGCACTGCAAAGGGAGGGCGAGTCACTAACCCAAGCACAACATGGATAAGCGGATAAGCGCGAAGAAGGGGGAGGAGAGGGGAGGGAAAAAATGAACGGATAAATGAGAACAGGAACACACACGCTGTTCTCTTATTGGGAACAGGTGAGTTAGAACAAACAGGCAGTCACCACTGATGTCTGACGTGAGAGGCCCCTGGCCAGACACTGCTGGTTGCCCCTCCCCCATCCATTTTCTCCGATTTAGTCACAGAACTCGGATTTTCAGCTGGGCACACTGCCACTCAGCTAAAAAATGAATTTCTCAGCCTTTCTTGTAGCTAGGTTTGAAGTTGTGGCTACGTTTTGGGCAACGGGATGCAAGAAGGGTTGGGTGGCATTTTTTAAAAGTATCCCTAAAAGGGGTAAGGCAGGCCATTTCTCCCCTTTCTGAAATCCCTGGGAACACAGCAGGAGCTGGACTGCTCCTGGGTCTCTGACAACTTCAAAAAGCAATAATACTCCCAGAGCTGCCTACCTCCAATTTTTTTAACACGAAAAGAGAAATCTACATTTTTAAGCCACTGATACATGTTTTTAATAGCTGAATCTAATGCTAATTGATACAGTCCCTTTCAAAAACCTCTCCCCCATGAGATGATGCCAGATGCTGTCATCACATGGGGACGGCAGAGCCCTGGGTGATGACAACAATGACACAAGTTCTTCAGGCTCGGGGCTTCCTCCTTGGTCTGCCCATTGCATTACTAGCTGACACTTCCTATTCTCTTGGCTTCAGAGACGGCACACCCTTGAAACTTCCTTCCTGCCTTTCTTGCAGCCCCTTTGCTGGATCCGGTTCGTCTTAACAGCCTTAAGTGCCAGAGTCCCTGAGTCCCAGGACACCTCTCTCTGACATCTGCTTGTTCTAAGTGATCTCATCTAGTCCATGGCTTGAAATGCCCACTATACTCTAATTATGCCCACATTTATATTTCCAGCCCTAACTATGCACTAGAGAACTAGACTCGTATATCAAAGTGCCTTACTTGACGTCTCCATTTGAAATCTAACAGGCATCTCCAACATCATGTCCCTAAATGGAGTTTTTTATTTCCTCCACACACCTGCTGTTCCCTGCCTTCCAGTCTCAGTAAATGGTAACACGATTCATCTGGTTGCTTGGGTCAAGAACTCATTTGAGTATTGCTTAGAGGGCACCCTGCCTCCCTGGCCAAACCATAGAAAATCCTTTTGGCACAGTTTTTTTAACTTTATTGGGGAGCAATGTTTTTTCCCCAGGACCCATCAGCTCCAAGTCCAGTCGCCGTTTTCAATCTAGTTGCGAAGGGTGCAGCCCACCATTCCATGAGGGAGTCGAATGGGCAACCTTGTTGTTCAGAGCATGCGCTCTAACCAACTGAGCTATCCGGCTGCCCATCCGCTGCTCAGCTCAAGGTGCCATGTTCAATCTATTGGGTCATCGGGAAAGTCATGACGCATTTTTGCATTGAAAAACATAGAAAAATATGTCATGACTTTCCCAACGACCCAATATAAAGAACAAAGATCAATCAATGATATATTGCCCGTTTTGTTCGATAACCTTTTGCCATCTTTCAGTGAGCTTCATAATTCCTTGTTCATAAAAG